AGACCATTACTATTCATGGGTAAATTGTAATTATGAGCTTAGAGTCGCTAATGAAAGTTATATTTTTAAATTATATTTTCAATGTACGTATTTAATACAAGTTGGATATGTATAATTTTAAATTACGTATGTGATGTTACCACTGTATTATGTATTTTTAAATACATATTTTTAAAAAAATATTTGTCTTTGATATTTTATCTTTTATACTACTTTTAATACTGTCTTTTAAAATTGTATGCATTAAAGAACGTGGGAAGTATCTGCTACATTTCAACGATATGTCATCGTATCAACATCATGCTTATGTATAAACTGCTTCTTCTAAAAAAAAACAACAACAATATTCAACAGCAGTTTGCATGGACATCGCTAAACTATTCGACAGGGTATGGCATGCAGAATAAATTTATAAACTCTCATCAGTAGACACAGCTACATACCTCTTAAAAACGATCAAAAGCTTCCTCACCAGTAGAACAACTCTCTCACTAGAAAATGTCACTGTTGCTGGCCGTTGCAGGGCCGATGCAGGGCCAGGCCCAGGAGAACCGGACGGGCGTGCGCGAGAGACAGAGGGACGGAGGAATGGAGAGAGTGACATAGACACACAGAGATAGATGGCGCGTAAGTAAGAGAGGGTGAAAGAGAGACAGAAGACAGTGACACAGAGAGACAGAAAGAGAGAGCCAAACAGAGAGAGAGACACACACACAGTGAAAGAGAGAGAGAGTCAAACAGAGGCAGATATAGGCAGTTAGAAAGAGATAGAGACGCTGAGTGAGAAACTAGCAGAGAGAAGCGAAGACTGGTACAGAGAGAGATAGTCAAGAGACAGACACAGAGAGAGGGTCAGGGACAGATAGGCAGAGACAGACATAGTCAGACCAGACAGACTGAGATAGATCAGAGAGACGGAGAGCGCGTGAGAGAGAGAGAGAGAGAGAGAGAGAGAGAGAGAGAGAGAGAGAGAGAGAGAGAGAGACGGATAGATATATGAAAAAAAAAGGCCAAATCCGAGTATTTTGCTAGTTATACATTAAAGCTGTAAAGAGGTCGATGTCCCTACTAATCGGCTCCCAGTGAACAGTTTTAAACAGGTAAAGTATCAAAACCAAGAGTAAAATAAATTATAAGTGGAGGAAATTATATATTTAATATAGTTGCGCGCTTTCTTGTATTAAATCTATAATATAAAATGAATCGCAAAAAATTGTGTTGGTAAGCGCATAACTCAACAACGTGAGCCTGGACCAATTTTGGGCACTTCTTTTTTTAAAATGTCGTTGAAGTTCAAGGAGGTTTATACGTCGAGAAAAATTCCGAATAATTGCCGAAAAAACTTAAAAAACAGCCTTTTTTCTTTTCCCCAGTACTAAACGTTTTCTAACTAAAAGTAGAGTCAATTTGAGCTTTATAGCTTGTTGTATAAGCACTCATGTTAGTGAGGCACAAGCACTCATTGTTGTAGGTATGTTTCCTAAGCCAAGAGTCAATTTGGCTAGGGTTGCCACCTCTCCGGTTTTAAGACCGGAGACTCCGGTTTTTGAGGCTTCATCTCCGGTCTCCGGTTTTTGAAAAATTAGTGGTCCGTTTTTTTTTTCCCAATTTTTCAATACATTTTTCAAATTTTTTTACCAATATAATTAGATTTTTCAAACTTAAATTTAAAGCTTTTTACTATTTCATCAGAAATCTGTCCTTTCCTTCTTCATTAGAAAGACCTAAAGAGCAGAACATGAAAATAGGTCTTGCGATCTTCGAGTTATCGCCCATCCGCTGTCTCTTTCTTTTCTACGCATACGGAACAGAGACAGCATTAGCGATTATGCGAGAATCGCATCGCGCAAACAGTTTCAAGAATATCCCCCGGGAATGCTATTCGATATCTTCATTTTGAAACAAGACGAATTTTTCGTATTTCGTATCGACATTTCGTATGCAAAAGGCTGACATCTTTAGATATACAATAACAATTTGAAATCTTATAAAAATGAATCGCAAAATGTGTTTGTAGCGCAATAACTCAACCAACGCCATGGAGCGCATATTGGAACAATTTTTTTTTTAAAATGTTTCGTTGAAGTTCAAGAATGGTTTTTACGGGTCGAGAAAAATTCGAATAATTGCCGAAAACCCTAAAAAACAGCCCTTTTCGTTTTCCTATACAAACGTTTTCTAAACTAATAACGTAAGAGTCAATTTAGCTTTATAGCTCTTGGAATAAAAGCACTTGCATTGTTGTTTAAACAATGTAGGTATGTTCATAACGTAAGAGTCAATTTTCACTTTTAATTACCAAATTATACAAAGTTCAAATTCAATCATATCTATCAAACAGTGTGGTGTGTGCGTTTGGAGCACAGAATATAACATCGTTGGAGATTTAATGTCGCGTTCGCGAACTGATTAACAAAATAATCTATAATATAAGAATACCTTCTATTGACGAAGCAATTTAGGTAGAAGAACCCGAAAATGCTACCAAACCAAGCTAATTACACCGGATCTAATCATGCTGCACAAGACGTGACGACCGGAAATGAACATGAAAGCAATTCGGATAATCAGAAACCGCGTGAAGCGCGAGCGCTACAATTCAAACTAATAATCGGCAAGTTTTGCATCGAGCTGCGCTTTTCAATTTTACAATGTGTCAATTGACTACAGTAATTACCAAATGTGTTGTTAATTGGTTCTAATGAACTTCGGTTTGCTCATATTGTAAGGCATTGAAATATAGAAAACGAACTAAATGGATTGTGGTTGCGCAAATGGTAAAGTGATTTTGATACCATTGAAACGCACCGAACCAGAGCCATTGTACTCATTGGTTTCAGGAATAGGAAACAGATTCGCATACACTTTTTGACAAATATCCAACAACTATAACAATTTGCTTTGCAAATGACTTCATTTGGGTCATCAAATGTAGTTCGGGAAAATTTTATGCACTTTTCAAGGTATTTATTTATAGCAGTTTAATCATAATTATTTTTATGTTCTGTCACCCACAAGTTAAAATGTCACTAAAATTCTTCAATTTCTTAATCATTAAGATCATAATCATCACTTGGTCAAGAAATTTACAACGAAGCATTGATTTCAATTGAGGACATGGTGCTTGAATGATGTCAAAACAAACTATTAATTCAATTAAGTCCTCGGACGCGGCCCCAATCATCCAATGCATGATGCTTTTAACCAAAGAGTTGAATCGAGGAAAACTGTATGATCTCAACACTTTGAAGAATTAATATCAAACAAATCTTCCACTGTCGGAATGAACAACAAGAAGTAATGTATTTGATACTCTTATGAAGAAACAAATGATGAAACTGGAGGGATTTACTTCCTTAGATGCACCTGGTGGTACGGAAAAACTTTTTTGCTTTCATTAATATTAGCAACGATTCGCTCACAAAATGAAATTCGCACTTGCACTCGGCTTCGTCGGGAATCGCAGCAACCTTTGCTTGAAGGTGGTCGAACAGCCCATTCCAGCAATTACAATTGCCCATTAAATATGCAAAGCAATGAAACTCCGAACCTGCAACATTTCGAAGAACTCTGCCATGGCAAAGGTCTAGCAGCAATGTAAATTTAATATTGTTTGGGATGAATGCACGATGGCACATAAAAAATCTTTGGAGGCTTTAAGACAAGAAACTTAAAATATCTACGGAAGCAATCATATCCAATTTGGTGGTGCAATGGTTTTATTGGCCTGGTAGATTCTTCGTAAAGAACATTGCAGTGATTCCACGATCAACACGCAGCTTATGAACTCAAATGCATTCTAAAGTCCTCCAATTTGTGAAAACATGTCAGTACTGTCATTTAAGCAAAAATATGCGTGTCGAGTTGCAAAATGACCAATCTGGAAAAGAATATTCTCTAAACAACTCATGTGCTATTCGGTAATTGGCAAAATTTCCTATAGACCTGTTAACTGAAAAAACTTTGAGGAAAGTTAATGCAGCCAGTAGGACTCGAATCAAAGATGACTTATTCAGAAGGTGTTTCCAGATGTTTCTCAAAATTACAGAAACCATGATTGGTTTGAGCCGAAACGAGGCAATATTGGCTGCAAAAACATAGATGTAAAATGAATTAAATTTAAAAATTACAAAGAACAAATTACGGCGGAATAGAAGGATACTATAAATGAGTTGAAATTGGCTACTAACCAAGATATGTAGTGACTATCCACCAGAATTTTTAACTCGCTGGGATTTGCAGGATTGCAAGCTCAAAAATCTCAATTAAGGTTGGATCGGTAGTTATAATGTTGGCGAAATATCACCAGCCAACCAACGTCCTTTGCAACGGCACACGGTTTAACGATAAAAAAATTACTAAACCACGTGATAGAAGCAACTATACTGAAAGGAAGTATAAAAGGAGAAGACGTCCCTCATACGCGCGCACCCAATGTTCCCGCACTGAGTGCTGTTTGACTTTAAACGACTACCAGTTTCCATTCCGT